CAACCCCCCATTAACCCCTACCAGGTTCACTCCCAGCCCTGGTTCCTGCACTTGCCGGTATATGCAGCAGATGGGTTCAATCTTTCCTGCATCCCATTCAGCTCAATGGGTGTTGAAACCTAGTTCAACCCAATCGACTTCACTATCTAGCCCACACTCATGTGGTGGGTGTCACCGCCTGTCTAACCAGGCCGGCCCTCAGTCATGGTTCTTATGCTCACCAGTGGGAGTTGCAGCCCTTCAGAGAACTGCCCACAGTTTCCCTAACAGGAACACTCCTAGCTCTGGATCTTACACTCGTTGGGTGGTACCTCAGTCTTTCCTGACAGAACTTGCCCTTAGTCCCAGCATTTGCCAGCTGATGCTGCAATAAAGCCCTACCAACCTGCATTTACTGTGGCTCATGCCTACCCCAGTGGATATGGTCGCTTAGCCCAGCCTGGCTCTCCACCTAACCCAGATCACATGCAAGCCAACAAGTGTTGTAGCCCTCTGACTTGGTCTGCCCCTTATTCTAGTACCCACACTCACCAGTGGGAGCAGTGACCCAGCAGAATAGCCCCAAGTACCTACCTTACTGGCCTCGTACTACCCTCCCTGCAACCCTGGGTCTCACATGTGCTGGTGGGTGCCTCACCTTGACATTTGCCAGTGGATGCTATAGCCTGCTTGGCCCAGCCTGCCCCTGATTCCAGCTCATGCTGGTCAGTGCTACAGTCTAGCTCAGCCCATCCAGCCCTTAGTCCCTGTCCTAATGTGGACTGGCTGGTGTTGCACCTGACTCAACTTATCCTGCACCCTGTCCTGGTTCTTAAATCTGTCAGTGGGTGTTATGAGCTAGCCCAGCTTGCCTGTCCATTTACCTGACCCACATGTATGCTGGCAGGAAATATCACCTGGCGTGATCTTGCGCTCACCTGAAGGGACTGTGTCATGACAAAGGAGTTCCCCAAGTTCCTCTATCAGGCTTCCTCCCAGTGGTAGATCTCACACACACCAGTGGGTCCTTGGCCCAGACTAACTTAGTACATCTCCTGTCCTGGCAGGAACAGTGGCCTTGCCAACTGGCCAATATCCATTCTGATTATTACTGTTGGATGTTATGGCCCAGCCACACCTGGTTCACACCCAGATACAACTCTCACATGGTTTAACAAGTGCTAAGACCTAGCCCAGCCCTTTGTCTTTTCCAAGCACCAGTGGGTGCTAGAGTCTACTCAGTTGGGTACACCCTAGACACAGTCCACACCCAAGCCAAGGGATACTACAGTCATGTTCTGCCCAGAATGCCATCCCCTTTCTGGCTCTTGGACTCACAGATGGGAACCACAGCCCAGCTGGGGTATCCCCTTAGCTCCCCAACCAGGCCTATTTCTAGCCACAGATTATGCATGTGCCAGTGATTGCTCTGACCCAGCTTGGCATAGTCCCTCACCTGTCTTGGCCTTTGCCTTTGGATGCTGCAGCCTGACCTCTCCTAGCTTGTACCCAGTCCCAACTCTCAATTGTAGGTGCTGCGCCCTAGCCCTGCCCAGACTACTCCCATCCCTGGTTCATGCAAACCAGTAGGTGTGATAGCCTAGCTCGGCATAACCTGCACTCCATTCTGGCTGCTGTATGTGTTAGTGGGCTAAAGTTGACCTGACCATGCCCAGTCCACCCCTCTTCAGAACTAACCCACACACTTGCCAATGAGTGGAACTACCTTGCCTTGCCTGACCAACACCTAGGCCTGAATCACATGCTCATCAGCAGGAGCTATGGTCCACCAGGAGAGTTCTCCCACCAGGCCTACTTCCAGATCCAAATCTCACATGTGCCAGCAGGTACAAGGCCTTTATGTGGCATTCTCTTCCACCTCCATCCTGGCCTTTGTATGAGCTGGTGGATGTTGCAGCCCAGCTTACCCCATACCCTATTCTTTGTACTTAAGGGTTCTGCAGCCTGGACCTGCCTATCCTGTTCCCAACCCCAGGAAGCATGATTGCCGGAGGGTTCTATGGTCATGCCTAGCTCAGCCTGTCAGTACCTCCAGTTCTTAAACAAACTAGCAAAAATTGCAGTTCCACAGGGGTGGCCCCACATACCCCCTGCAGAATTTTCCCCCATATCTGGTTTTCTCATATGTTAATTAGTGTCATGGCCCTGCCTAACATTACCCATCACCTGTTCCAACTCTGGTGCTATAGCTCTGCCATGCAGGCCCCTAGCCCTAGCTGTATTATACAGAGGTAAGTGGTGTGATCCACACTAACTAGCCCATTTGAGATCTCCCATGTGGGCTAGTGTATTTGTCCGATCCATAAAAGCCCTGCAGTTTCCCCCCTCCAAACCACTCAGTGTCAGTTCCCTCGCTTACCTGCAAGTACAGTGGCCTTGTTGATGAGAGTGCCTTAGAGGTCACTCCTCACCTACAACATACTCCTCAGCGGTCCCAAGGTTTTGTTTACGCCATCCTCCACTGTCTACTCAGGCCACATGCAGTGAGCTGGATGGGAAGTGGGGCAGCAGGAACATGAACTGGCATGCATATGGGTTCCCAACATTTGGAGGTGGAGGATTAGCCAGTTGAGCCATCGTGCCAGGCTCCTACTTGTCTTTCTTGATAAGCCCCATATGGACTCCGGTTTGTGTCTCAGCTGATGTACTCCTCATCCAGCTCCCTGCTTATGGCCTGGGAAAGCAGAGGAGGATGGCCCAAAGCCTTGGGACCCTGCACCCATCCACTCTGCTCCACAATGTTGACCCATGGCTTTTAGTTTCTGTCATCAAATCTGTTATTTAAAATGCCAGCTTTTCTAATTTAAATAGATGTTTAAATAATATAGTGTTATTTCTACATGTTATACATAATATTTTTTCATTTTAAAAGCAATTTAAAAGCTACAGAAATAAAAATAACCTGTAATCCTATTATACAGTGACAATCTGTATTAACATTTTAATGTGTTTTCATTTAGCTTTTTGAAATGTATTTTAACTGTCTGCTTTGAAGCATGTTGAGTCTTAGAGAAAAATTACAAGAATAAGAACCCCCTTATATCTTTTGCCTAGAACTGCTGTTTTTAAAGATTTATTTATTTGAAAATAAAAGTTATAGAGAGAATGAGAGAGCAAGAGAGAAATTTTCCATTTGGTGATTCATTCTCTAGATTGTCTCCATAGCTAGTGCTGGGCCAGACCAAAACCAGGAGCTTCATTTGGGTCGCTCACGTGGGTGGCAGGGGCCAAGCACTTTGGCTATCCTTTGCTGCCTTCCCAGGCCAATAACAAGGAGCTTGATGAGAAGTGGAGGGGCCACTTCACCAACTGGCTGCTATATAGAATGCCAGCATTGCAGGCGGTGGCTTTACGTGCTACTCGACAACTCTGGTCTCAATCCACCAGTTTTCAACCTTTGTCACATTTCCTTATTCTCCTCGTTTACAGGTAACTATAAAACCTGAAAAACATGCATTATGCAATCTTTAATCTATGTGAGGAGCCTTGTTCCATCTAGGCACAGCTCAACATGCCAGCTTCCCCTGGACCCACCCTGCCCTAGTTGTGCAGGCAGCTTCTTCCTTGAGGAACCAGGATCTGGTGTCACTCTATTTTTTGGCCCTTCATGTAGGGTCCAGCCAGCTCTGTGTATCTCCTTTGTTGGTTAACTGCTTTTCTCCATGTATGGATATTGTCTGAAAACTTTATTTTAAGTGACTGCAGCATACTCGTTCTATGACTGTGCTTAACCACCTCTCTACGTCAGTAATGCAGCCATGTCCATCCTTGGCACCTGTCTCTAGCTACAGCTCTGAGCATCTCTGGTTCTTTCCTTCAGCTACATTCTTAGAGGCAAACTCTGGCCAGGACAACAGTGGGTGGCTCCTGGATGGACATGGTCTTAACTGAGGGAAATGGTTCTGGTCATTTGAGTTATAAGAGGTCAGAGAAACACCTGTTTTGAGTAAGCGGTTGCTGAAGCTTCATGTGGGCTGTGGAAGACGGTACCCATTCAGGGAGAGGTGGATGAGTCATATGTCATACGTCATGGCCACTCCAAGCAGGGCCATGACAGGAAGCAGAGATGGAGATGCGATGATACCTGGTGTGTGTGTAGGTGGGGGCTTTGAGGCGACCTGGGGTGGGATCTTGATTGGGAAGGGGAAGGTACAATGGATCATTGCCATGTCTGGTATCCCAGTGAGCAGGGGAGGGACTGTGGGGAAGGAAAGTACAGGGGCTGCTGGGAAAGATATGGGGTCCCAGGGATGGATTTGGGTCCAAACCTGGTGTGTCGTGAGGCACCAGCTCCCAGCATTTGCAACTGCCCCCTGCATCCTGAACTTGGCACCCCTTTGCTGCCTCTGAGCTCCGCTTGGCTGGCTCTGTCCCCAGGGCAGAAGGCCCAGCAGCAGCTGTTGCTGGGTTTCCTTTTATTGTGCTCCCGTGTTCCTGGCCTGCTTAGCACAGAGCCCTCCTTTCCCAGGGCCCCTGCTCCGGGGCAAGGCAGGGGGTAGTTGACCCCTCATCTTGCACCTCATAGTGACTCAGGTTGGGGGGCTGTGTATGTGGGCTGGAGGGTCTAAACTGGGTGCTATTACTGCTGTGGGACTTGAGCCCTGCCTGTGGGGAGCTTCCCCTGACCCCCATATGGCAGTGCTGGATGTTGGAGATGGACCCCGGGATGCTGGGAAGCACCCTCTCTCATTTAAACAAGGCAGAAAGGCTGGGAGGGGTTGGGACCCAGGCCTTAATAAGTGTGGTGATGTTGGGAGCTTCTGAATGATTCATGTTTGGGGATTTGGGAGGGCACCTGGGTGGGAAGTTGAGATAGTCCTTGACTCTTCTAAGCCCCTAAACCTGGGAGAGCTGGAGCTTGTCAACATTCATCCCGCACAAGGGGAGACCTGGACTGTGGGGTCCCCACTCCCAAGGGCAAGCTGTGAGGATCCTGGTGACCAGAGGCTGGGTCAGAAGCTGACTTCCTCTCTTTTCTCCTCTTCTGCCCTCTCCTGCAGACATCCTTCTACGGCCGCTTCAGGCACTTCCTGGATATCATTGACCCGCGCACACTCTTTGTCACCGAGGTGAGTTGTTGAGATGTCGCCCCTGGCCTCTGGACCTGGTTGCTTCTGAGTGTGGGGGTCACTGGAGGGCCTGTGGCAGTGACTAGGATAGGGAAGATGGAAGGGAGGCAATATATGTCGATCTGTCTATCCATGGTACATATGCTGTGCTGTAAGTGCGATTTCCCCATTGTTTCGCTCCTGGCCTCAGGAGGCTTGACGCTTGTAAGTGCCACCACCCACCCTGTGACCTTGGGCACGGAAGTACCCTTCCTTTACAGTTTTACCAGAGAATGGAAAGCCTAGCTGATCTCTGAAGAGGAAGAGGCTCTCACGGCTGATTAGCAGAGGCAGGTAGGCAGGTGATGTGGGTAGGGCTGCTTTGTCATCTTGCTGCTTGCTGGCTGAGGCTTCAGTCATGCACCCAGAGCTTGGCTGCTTCTTTGTTCCAGTTGAAAACAATTCCTGCCAGGCCCACCCGGCTGCCCACCTCCCAGCTTTCCATACGCCTGGCATGCCTGAGCCATTCTGCCAAGCCTCACAGCACAGTAGTGCAAGCGGAGGGTGGCAAGCAAGGAGCCCCTCCTGTCCTCCTATGTCTTCATGCAGGGGCAGAGCACTTCTTTGCAGTGGGAGAGCACCCTCCACATAGCCAGGCCGCAGGGACCTGACTGGGCAGGGAGCCTTTGCTCCAGAGCCTGGAGCACACTCCTCAGCCTTCACAGGAGTTTTGTGAGGCCGAGGGCAGCCAGCCTGGAGCACTAGGGCCAGAGAAGCTCACTTGGCTGCCTTCAGTGCTGGGTTCTTCCCCTTGTCTTTAGCAGCTTGGGGATTTACGTCTCCCCCACCCTGTAACCCTTTGCCAAGATCAAGGCTCTCTGGGACTCATTCTTTTGCTGCAAGGGCTCCTTTGATGGCTGTGTCAAATGGGATGGAATCTGGCCAGGTTGTTATAGGAACTCAGGAGAATCCCTGGAGTGGGAGAAATAATGAGGACATGGGGCCTTTCACCACTCAGTGCTGGGAAGTAGAGCATCCATTGTCCGGGCTGCAGAGGCCCAGGCAGCGGCAGGAAGCAGCATAGGGCGAGGTAGCCCGCTGCAGCACCAGGCAGCCCTGGGGGATTGCAGAGCAAGGTCCAGCTAGGCAGGTTCAGACGCTATGTTTCCCACTTCCACTTTGTGTGACCTCGAGCAAATCAGCAGACAATCAGCATGACCCAATTTTGTTGAAAAACTAATGTGTTAAGGTGAGAAAGAATCATCCTCTCATTCACAGAGTTGTCTTGGTGGCATGTTTATAATGAATATATAAACATATATAGAGAGTTTGAGAAAGAGAGAGTAAGTAAGTATGAGGTCTCGTTTAATTGGTTCGCTCCCCTAAATGTCTGCCATGGTCAGGACTGGGCGGGGCCAGAGCCAGGAACTCAATCCAGGTGTCCCATGTGGTTGGCAGGAATCCGCTGACTTGAGCCATCACTTGCTGCCTCCCTGAGTTTGCATTGGCAGGGAGCTGGACTCAGGAACTGGAGCTGGGAATTAAACCTTGGTATTCTAGTGGGGGTGGAGTGGGCATTTTATGCTAAGCTAAATGCCTGCTCCTTCTTCAGCTTTGAAGATTTTTGAACTGCTGGGGAATGTTCCCTGGTGTTCTGATGCCATCCTCGCTCGTATGTTGCCCTGCAGGAGGATATGTAATCTTCTGGTCTGTTGCGTGTGTATTCCGTACTCAGTGGCCTCTCCTTGATTGTCAGGTGCAGTCCTGTAAGGGCACGACATGCAGGAGCCTTACATCTGTACCCCTCACTGTCTCTTCCTTCCTCTGCAGAGGCGTCTCAGGGAGGCCGTGCAGCTGCTGGAGGACTACAAGCACGGGACCCTGCGCCCGGGGGTCACCAATGAGCAGGTAACTGTTGGCAGTGGGGCTAAAGTGTGGGGAGGAGAGAGAAGTAGGTGAATTCACATGCCCTTCCTGCAAGCAGAGTCACTGCTTATCCTTTCAGCATCTACATCTACCACTGGCTCTTAGAAGAGGATGCTCAGGTGTCCCTCGTGGGCGGGACACCCCTTGAGGGGCTGTGGTTAGTTGGAGTGGCTTGCACTGGTTTGCAGAGAGGAATGTGTGCATCATGGCTCAGTTCCACATTCAGTGACATCACAGTGGCAGCTTGAAACCAGCCGTGATGGTCCCCATTTACGCCACAGAAATTGGCAAAGACCATAAACCAGGGCTTTTTTCTCCCAGAAGCTAGTCATCAAACATTCACCAGCATATCCCTGCCCCCCAGCATTCAGGTTGAGAGTATGAAGGAAAAGGAAGGCTAGGTTAGGGTACTATCATTTTATATTTTTATGTAACAAAGGGACTTGAATTAGTCACCTGAATTGCTCATGGGTGTGTTTGGTTTAGGGAAAGGTAGCAGGATACAGTATTGTAACCAATTGTGGAATCTGTTGGTTAATGTGCTGCAGTTTTTCTTTTGTTCCTAAACTTCAATTAAAAACTTTTTTTTTTTAAATGGAGGCTATTCTGTGGCTCAAGAAGCCAATCCTCTGCCTGTTAGTGCTAATATCTCATATAGGTGCTAGATCGTGTCCTGGGCTGTTCCACTTCCCATCCAGCTCCCTGCGTATGGTCTGATAAAGCAGTGGAGGATGGCTCAGGTCCTTGGGACCTTGAACCCACATGGGAGACCTGGAAGAAGCTCCTGGCTTTGGATTGGCCCAGCCTCGGCTGTTGCAGCCATGTGGAGAGTGAACCAACAGATGGAAGATCTCTTTCAGTCTCTGTCTCTCCTTCTTTAGGTCTGCCTTTCAAATGAAAATAAATCTTTTTGAAAAAATTTGAACACTTGATTTTATGTTTTTCTAAAATAATATGTTTGTATGGTTAAAAAGTCAGATAGTACTAAAATACAAGTTGGGAAAACTAGAGTGCTGCCCGCTCTCCTGTTCCCAGCAGCAGCTACTCTTAGCTGCTCTTCAGCACTGCATTTATAATACACAGGCTTATCTACACTGCAATTTCCCACTTTATGCTTGGTAAAAATAGATTTTATTGTCATTTTTTTTCTTTGGAAGAAAGGAAAGGAGAGAGAGGGGGAGGGTAAAAGAAGGTGAGAGGGAGGTAAGGAGAGAGAGGGAGAGAGGGAGGTGAGAGAGTGAGTAAGGAAGGAGAAAGAGAGAGAATTACATGTGTTGGTTTGCTTTTCTAGTGTGTTCAATGGAAGCTGGATTGGAAATAGGGTAGCTGGGACTCAAACCAAGGGCTCCCATATGTGATGCAGGAGTTCCCAAGTGGCAAAAACTGCTGTACCAAAAGCCCACCCCTCTCAATAAGTTTTCTTTGGCGTTGTCTGCTATGGTGGTTGAGGATTCAGGTCTTTTATTATCTACCCCTATAAACCCTTTCCCATCTGCATTTTCTCCAAAAATAGTTTTTGGAGGAAACATGGAGAGAAGAGAGAGAATGAATCTTCCATCTACTGGTTCACTCCCCAAATGGCCACAGTGGTCAGGGCTGGGTCAAGCTGAAGCCAAGAACCAGGATACAAATTTATTTCTGAGATTCCATTGTACTATCACCTCCAAAACTCACTGTTTTGCACTCTTAGTGACTTCTTTCAATTTGAAGATCCCCGTCTTTCAGTTCTGGCAAGCTTTTTTACTACTGTTTATTTCTACTGATAATTTCTTCTCACTCCTCTTTGTCTAGTATTGGCCTTCTGAGGCTGATATACTCCAGTTTTGTGATCTTTTCTATCCCATCCCTGCAGGCCACAGGTGGCTCTAGGGCCAGGCGCTGCAGGGTGGCGGTGTGGAGAAGCAGGAGGAGGTTCTTGCCTCACAGACAAACTGGGCAATGGCCTTGAGAACACTGGACACTGTAGGAGAACAGTGGAAAGGGGCAACAGCCTGGTCATGGGGTGTCTGGAAGAGATGTTTCCCCAGAGATTTGAGGGGTGAGAATGGGCTGGTGATAAGTGGCGGGCTGGGAAGCAGTGCTGGGCCCAGCAGCACCTGCACGGAGGATAGCGGCCTTCTCTTGCCTCCTGAGCTGCCTGCTTCTGCCTGCTCCTGGCAGCCCAGGACTGGGAGGTGTGACTGATACCCTGTCCCCACCCCTCAAGGCCACCCTGTCCCCACCTAAGCCCTCTCTGATCCTGCCTGTGCCTGCTCCCAGCCCCACTTCCTGCTGTCCCTCTCTCGCTGAGATTGGCCTCTGGGGTTCTTTGCCAACTCCCAGAGTTTGGGCAATGAGGCCACAGTTCTACTCTCTTTTCCTTTTCAGCAGCTTCTAGCACTTGTCCTGTTTCCTGGGCCGCCTTTGTTTTCCATTCTGAAAGCCCCCACTGCCTGCAGGGAGGAGGGAAATAGGGGGTACCCACCAAATAGACAATAAACACAAAGCTGGCGTCAGCTGGGTGTCCCAGTTCTGGCTGGCATGGGTGAGGCCTGTGGTGTCCATCTGGTGGCCGGGCAGCACAGCAAGCTAGGAATGAGCCGGCTGCCACAGCCCTCTGAATGTAGATCTGCCCTCTCCCTCACCCAGCTTCCCGGCTGCCAGTGCCTCCCCTGCATGCGTCCTCCCCGGCCTCCATCAGCAGATCTGCACAGCCACGGCTTCCACGCCACAGACCTGGGAAGAGAGGACAGTGATGGCACAGCAGCTCAGGTTCAGGGAAGCCTCAACAACCTGGAATTGCAGCTAGTTCCACTTGTCGGCCCCAGTTGGCCCTACTCTGGGGCTGGATCTATGCCAGCTGATGACGCCCAGGCTAGCTCTTAGTCCCAGTCTGGAAGGGGCTTCGCCCTCAGCTAGGCTGTGCTCATGCTGATGTCCTCCTGTGGGCATGTGGGTCAGCTGCCCACTGCCAGGTCCCTGTGCCCTTGGGCCTGGCCTGCCTTGGGGGTAGTATTGAGTATCCCATGCCTTGTCTTTATGCAACACATCAGCACCCTATGCTCCATCACAGCCCCTGGCCCTGGGTGTGCACAAGTGTGTTTGTTGTTTGTTCACTCCTGGTGACTTTGGTGGGCACCTTACTTCTCCTCCAGAGCCCATTGCCCATTTATCTGAGGATAAAATAAGTGCCGACTATCCTTTGGTCTTGGTAGGTAGAAATACAATGCACTAGGACCTGGCATAAAGGCCGCAGCTGTCAGTTAAGCACAGAGCTGTAGCTGCACAGACGTGTGCTCATAGACGCAGCCCATGTTTCTGGATATTGACTGTGATTTGTGCATTTGCATATGCTGAGGAGTAGGTGGAAATAGGTGGAGTTAAATATTAAAGAACTCCCCCTTACCCTGCCTCACCATGGTGAGCCACCATTCATTGTAGGCTTTTCAAGTACTGGGCACCCATCAAATGCAGCTGGTTCTCCACCGCTGTGGGCTCTGCCTGTGTGGATTAAACCCACCCTGGACTGCAAATGCCCAAAGATATGAGTGTGTCTGTGCTGAGCAGGCGGACTTGTCCCTGTCATGATCCCCTGAGCAATCCAGCACAACAGCTACTGACACAGGAGTTACCTTGTGTTGTGTGTTGTGAGGGATGTAGAGGTGACTTCACACAGGTTACAGGCAAATACTGCCCCTTGTTATTATCAGGGATGTGAGCATCAAAGGAGCTTGCTGTCCATGGCAGGGGTCTTGGAACCAGTCCCATGCAGGCACAGCAGTACCAGTGCTTTGTGAGTATTGTTTATTTGGTGGGCACCCATAGCAACCCATTTCCTAAGCAAAGACACTGAGATTCATAAAGATTATTTTGCTTGCCCAAGATCCTGTAGCCAGAATGTGCTGGCAAGAGGTTCTGACACTAGGCCTGTTCTATATTCCTGCTGGATGAATGGTCCCTGGGACTCATGCAAAAGCCAAGTGGAATGGAGAGACCAATGCAAAGAGGGAGGGAGTTTGGGAGAGAAGGATGGGACCTGTCCAGGGGAAAAGACAGTGAAGATGTGAGAGACCCTGTAGGTCTCATCTTCTGGCAGTGAGGACACAGGATCTGCTGTGCTTGGGCTATGCTCAAGATCATGGAGCGAGTGCCAGGGGTATAAAGGCCCTTGCACCCCTAGTTTTATTGGGTGGGTAGAAGTCGGTTTGTCAGAAGCGGGCTGAAGGAAAGGTGTGGCTGAGGCTTAGTCTCATCCAGCTCTCTGCCTCTGGCTCCAGTGGTCCTTGCGGCAGCCCCGGCTTGACTGTTCCCCTGGCACAGAGCAGCAGGTGGTCAGTATGAGCATTTGTATGATGTGCTCAGTGCTGGGCTAAGCACTGTGCATGCAGCTCAGTACTGGACCACTATGATGGGCTCCAGGATGCATTCTCCCTGGTTCCTACACAGCAGTCAGAGAAATCCATGGAAACACGGCCTACACTGCCTCTCGGCCTAGGGTTTCTTGGCCCTAACGCTGTTGGCTTTGTGCTGGGCTGCCCTGTGCACTGTAGGATGGCTCATAGCACCCCTGGCTCTGTCAGGTACATGTCAGTAGTTCCCTTACCAGCCACGATCAACAACACCTTCATAGGTTGCCTTATATCCCCCAGGTTCAAAGTTACCCTCCAAGAATGGCTGCTCCGGTAGAAACCGTGTTATCCTCTTTCCCCACTGAGAATGGAGGTCACTATTTGTGATACATCCTGCGAAGCCCTCACTCCTCTCTGACCTTGTCTCCTCCTTGGCTCCCCTTATTCCATTCATTGCAGTCACAGTGACTTCCTTGCTGTCCTGATGTGCTAGACAGAGCTCCTTGCTCCCCCAGGGCCTTTGCACAGACTGTTTTAGCTGCCAGAACAATCTCCTATCTTCACAGTTTTCTCCCTCCCTCCTTTGAGCATTTCCTCCAGGGTCACCTCTGGGAGAGCCACCCTGACCACCTTCCTGCTGTAACCTCCGCCACT